TTTTTTTTTTTTGGTACTGGGGATCGAACTTGGGACCTTGCACTTGTGAGGCAGGCGCTGGAAACACTGAGCTAAATCCCCGGCCCTATTTTCACTTTTTTTCTTGTCCCTTCCTTCCTTTCTCCCTCCCTCGTCCCTTGTTCCCCTTCCCATTTGAATACTTTTTTCCCATTTCCCAACATCCATTGTACCTTTCAGGCTTTATTTCCACTTTTGGTTTCTCATACTAGAGAAACAATGCAGTATTTAAACATGTGTGTCTGATTTATGTCACTCTAAGAGTATGGTCTCAAGGTCCATCCACTTAACTATAAATGTCTGAAGATTGTCCTTCTTTATGGCAGAGTAGTACTCCATTGTAGACAAAATTATCATGCTGTTTTTATCACAGTAGCTTTGTAGTATAATTTCACATCAGGAATTGTGATGTCCCCTGCCTTGCCTTTGTTGCCCAGAATTGGATTTACTATTCTAGGTCTCTTCTGGTTCCAAATGAAGTTTAGGATTGTTTTCTCTAATTCTGTGAGATATGCTGTTGGAATTTTGATCAGGATTCATTAAATCTGTGTAACAGTTTTGGAAATATGGCCATTTTCATTATATTGGTTCTTCCTACTCAAGAACAAGGGGTATCATTCCATTTTGTGATATTCCGTTCGATCTCCTTTTTCAGACTACTGTAGTTTTCAATATAGAGGTCTTTTACTTCCTTTGTTAGATTGATTCCTAGGTATTTCTTTCTTTCTTTTTTTTTGGATGCTATTGTGAAAAGTGTTGTTTCCCTAATTTGTCTTGCAGTGCATTTATTTGTGTATAGGAATGGTGTTCATTTTTTTTTTTTTTGGTACCGGGATCGAACTCGGGACCTTGCGCTTGCGAGGCAGGTGCGGGAACCACTGAGCTAAATCCCCGGCCCTCTAGGCATGCTGTTCATTTTTGAATGTTGACTTTGTATCCAGCTAAGCTACTGAACTTGGTCATCAAATCTAGAAGTCTTAGTGGAGTTTTAGGAGTCTTATATTGTAGAGTATCATGCCATCTGCAAATAATGATAACTTAACTTCTTTCTTTTCTATCCTTATTCCTTTTATTTTTTTCTCTTGTCTAATTGCACTGGTTAATGTTTCAAGAACTATATTCAATAACAGTGGTGATAGTGGACATCCCTGCTTATTCTTGATTTTAGAGTGAAAGCTTTCAGTTTTTATCCATTTAGTATGATGTTGGCTGTTGGTTTGTCATAGATGGCTTTTATCAGTTTGAGGTAAAGACCATCTATTTCCAGTTTTCTGTAGGGTTTTTTTTTTTTCATGAACGGGTGTTGTAGTTTGTCAAATGCTTTTTCTGCATCTATTGAGATGATCATATGGATTTTGTCTTTGACTCTGTTAATATAGTGTATTGTATTTATTGATTTGTGTATGTTGAACCATCACTGCATCCCTGGGATGAATCCTACTTGGTCATGATGTAAATCTTCTTGATTATTTGCTGCATTTTGTTTGCCAGTATCTTACTGAAGATTTTTGTGTCTATGTACATTAGGAAGATTGGCCTATAGTTCTCTTTTTTGGTTGGTTCCTTCTCTGGTTTTGGTATCAAGGTAATACTTGCTTCTAGGAATGAATTTGGAAGTATTGCTTCCCTTTCAATTTCTTCCTCAACTCTTTTTTTTTTTTTTGTACCG